CAGGGACCCCAAAATTGGGCTCGAGGACCCTCCCCTCCCCCCCCTGCCCCCTCCCCCTCCCCAATTTTGGGGCTCCCCATCCCTGGAGCGATTCCCCCATTTTTGGGGAGGAGATTCCCCCAATTTTTTTTTTTTTTTTCAGGGAATTCCCCCAATTTTGGGAAGAATTCTCCCATATTTTTGGAAGGAATTCCTCCAGTTTTTTTTTGGGGGGGGGAAGAATTCCCCCGTTTTTTCAGGGAATTCCCCCAAATTTTCGCCAAGGATTTTCCCCATTTTTGGGAGAATTCCCCCAATTTTCAGAGAAATTCTCCCATATTTTTTTAAGAAATTCCCCCGATTTTTTTGGGGAAGAATTCCCAGTTTTTTCAGGGAATCTCCTCATATTTTCAGAGAAATTCCCCCACATTTTTGGGAAGAATTTCCCCATTTTTGGGAAGAATTCTCCCATATTTTTTGAAGGAATTCCCCCACATTTTTGGGAAGAATTCCTCGCTTTTCAGAGAAATTCTCCCATATTTTTTTGGAACAATTCCCCCATATTTTTGGGACGAATTCCCCCATTTTCCGAGAAATTCCCCCAATTTTTTTGGAACAATTCCCCCATTCTCCGAGAAATTCCCCCAAATTTTTGGGAAGAATTCCAACAAATTTTTTTGGGACCAATTCCCCCATTTTTCGGAAGAATTCTCCCATATTTTTTTGGAACAATTCCCCCATTCTCCGAGAAATTCCCCCAAATTTTTGGGAAGAATTCCCCCAATTTTTTTGGGACCAATTCCCCCATTTTTCGGAAGAATTCTCCCATATTTTTTTGAAAGAATTCCCCCAATTTTTTGGGACAAATTCCCCCATTTTCCAAGAAATTCCCCCAATTTTTTTTGGGACGAATTCCCCCATTTTCAGAAGAATTCCCCCCCATTTTTTTTTAAGGAATTCCCCCCCATTTTTGGGACGAATTCCCCCATTTTCGGAAGAATTCCCCCCCATTTTTTCTTTAAGGAATTCCCCCATATTTTTGGGACCAACTCCCCCGTTTTTCCCGGGAATCCGCCCGTTTTTTGGGGCGAATTCCCGTGTTTTTGCTCAGTCCACGCGGACCAGCAGCCCGGCCAGCACGGTGGCCCCCGGCTCCTTGGTCACCCACTCCAGCTGGCCGGGGTCCAGCCCCTGGGGGGGCTCCAGGGCGGGCGGGGGGCTCAGCGAGGGGGGCCCGGCCCGGAACGAGCCCGGACGGACCCAAACCTCAAAGGCCACCTGAGCCCCCCGGGGCCGCGGCCAGCCCGGCTCCCGGAACCTGGAGAGATCAAAATGTGCCAAAATCACCCAAAATATCCCAAAATAACCTGAAATAACCCAAAATAACCTGAAATAACCCAAAATTCACCCCAGAATATCCTGAAATTCACCCCAAAATATCCCGAAATATCCCCAGGAATCCTTCCCCGGATCACCCCAAAATTCCCAAAAATCCCCCCCAAAATCCCCTCCCAACCGGCCCCTCCCCCTTCCTGAAACCACGCCCCCTTTCCGGTGGCCACGCCCCTTTTCAGTGACCACGCCCCTTTCCTGTGTCCCCGCCCCTTTCTGCAGCCACGCCCACTTCTCGTGGCCACGCCCTTTCCCCACGACACCGCCCCTTTCCCGTGGCCACGCCCACATCTGGCCACGCCCCTTTCTCGCGACAATGTCCCTTTCCCGTGGCCACGCCCACTTCTCTTGGCCACGCCCTTTTCTTGCGACATTGTCCATTTCCCGTGGCCACGCCCACTTCTCTTGCCCATGCCCTTACCCTGCGACACCGCCCCTTTCCCTTGGCCACGCCCACTTCTCTTGGCCACGCCCTTTTCTCGCAACACCGCCCCTTTCCCTTGGCCACGCCCACTTCTCTTGGCCACGCCCTTGTGCCCACGCCTTTTTCTGAGGCCCCGCCCCCTTTCCTGCAGCCCGGCCCCTTCTCTTGGCCCCTCCCCCTTCCTGCGGCCCCGCCCACTTCTCTTAGCCCTGCCCCTTTCCCACAACCACGCCCTTTTCCCGTGGCCCCGCCCCTTTCCCGTGGCAGCGCCCACTTCTCTTGGCCCCGCCCCTT